AGATATACATTTAATTAACAGTATTGCATGACCGTCAGATATAGTAGCGCAGTACTAAATAGCAAAAAATGGCCTGGTCATTGAGGCGGTAAAATCTTTGGTGCGGTGCATTATATAGTAGTTTACTGTGTTATTATACCAATATATATATATATATATATATATATATTATATATATATATATCTATCCATGAATGGCACCAAATACAGCAACTTCACATGACACCATCTACAGGGAGTGCCTAACTGAAGAAGCATATTTTACAGTATGTAGTAATTTGTTGTGGCGCCAGATGTTGTGACTTGGTGTGGTACTTAGTGGTATCATATAGTACCCTTGAGTGACACCCAGGGGCGGACTGACCATTTGGAAACTCAGGCACTGCCCGAGGGCCCAGGGTCAGTAGGGGGCCCCAAGAGATGCCCCTGGTACCTTTTTCATAGGCTTTTTCAAGTTTGGGCAAGGACACAGGGGCCCCATGATCCCCTATTGCCCGGGGGCCCCATGAGTTGTCAGCCCGCCCCTGTTGACACCATATTTTAGAGGGTTTGATTTTCTAAAAGTGTACAGAATTTACACTTTGAAAAGCAGTTTAATGAATGAAATGATGACATGTTTACTTCAGTCACCTGGTCATGTGCAGGAATTTCCTGGTTCTTTTTTTTCCCCTTTTATAAAATGAACACACCTTCACGTAGCCAAGAGAACATTCATTTTGCAAAGTGAACATTCTCTATTCCAGCCTTTCTCAAACTTTTTACCCCTGAGGAACCCCTACAATTATTTTCAGGTTTTGGGGAACCATTAGTCATCAGGGTCAATAGCAAAAACTGCCCTTACATTGGTGGTCAAAAGAAAAAATTTAACCCTTACAGTGGTTGTCAATATGCAACCATACAACTAAAAAGATAATTTCTTGTCTTGCTGTTGACATTGCTAAGTGTTGTTGGTTCTGGAACTACGCAGGCACCATGGAATGGGAGGTCAATCAGTCAAAGCTCAACTACTGGATGAACTCTGGTTAATAATGGCTGGTCCATTCCCTTAGTAAATTGGTGCCAGTAGCTAGATGGATTTGGTGATATGAAGTAACTTTTTGTGGCAGAATTTAGGTGACTTACATGGGCTGAAATTCCAAACAAGTTTTCTTTAGAAAATCAGAACATTGGTGTAATTTGTAATGCAATGGTGCCACCATTGATTTCAAAATTTGACCAAACAAGCCTTCAATTTCACCTCATGTTTCTATGGGAAAGAATTTTTGTACCAAGGAATCTTTTCTTTCCAGGTCATAGCTCATGCTCATTTCTTTTTTGATGATATTTCTTACATGAATCTCCCATCAGATTGATTAAAAATTTGTTTGTTTTTTTTTTTTAAATTTCCAACATGCCCGATAACTCAAATTCAAAGGCTGCACGAAAATCGGCCATTGCTGCAGACCATTAATGGTGCAAAATTCGAACGAATATTCTTAGATTTTTGAAAGAAATCCATTCAGAATTTGACCCATGTATGGCTGGCTTTAGTGAGTAAATTTTTGCGGCAATCCTTAACTTTACTTTGTATGTGGTACATACAAACCATTACATTACATTACATAGAATATTATGGCACGGATCTTCATTTATTCTTTAAATTAAGTCTGATCTGGTGACCTACTCCATGGGCACTCATTTCACTCTGAATTCAGAGTACTCAGATCCCATGGCCTGCTGATTGCACAATCTAGTCCACTCCTGTCTTCTTGATTTACAAAGGTCACAAGGGTCTCTCATTGTGCTGTTGTTCTCCAGCAAAACAGCAAGAACGCCTTAGCCGGATTTACTAAAAAACAAACCAATGCACGTGTAAGAGTAGTGAATTTGCATGCCCAGCTGAGAATACATGTACTGTAAATTTCCAAACTCCAACCACAGATCAGCATGGTTGTAGAAGTATCTTTCTGAGAGTAGAGGTGCCCACCTTGCCAGAGCAGGGGCACAGGGAACATAAGATTCAACAACAGTGGCGTTGATTATGGGGTAATGAGGGAAATGGGTTGAGTATGTTCACTTAGCTTAGTGAATGAGGTGAAGCTAAGTAAGAATTCACTTTGTAAAGGATAGCCAATCACATGCAAGACTAATTAAAAAAAATAGATTTTTCTCATGGATGATTGGAAGTTTTAAAGCGGAATTACAATGTATCTGAGCCAGGGGCAGACTGACAACTCATGGGGCCCCCGGGCAATAGGGGATCATGGGGCCCCTGTGTCCTAGTCCAAACTCAAAAAAGCCTATGAAAAAGGTACCAGGGGCATCTCATGGGACACTTTACTGACCCCGGGCCCTCGGGCAATGCCCGAGTTTCCAAATGGTCAGTCTGCCCCTGATCTGAGCACCACAAACCAAAAGCGCTATTTAATTCATTTTTCATACTCAAAGCAATCTCACCCATCCGTTCATGTCTCCATGCTTTACTGTGCTGAGAAATCACTTAGAAAATCACCCTCTGGTGTTTTTGGCCATGGCCATCTTGAGTAAAGGCAGATGATTCATGTAGCGATTACTTCCTGGAATCCATCTGCCCTTAGTTCAGGCATACAGGCAGGAGGGTATGCTTAGCTGAAAAAAACCTCCACTCCTGGGAAGTATGGCACCATTTTCCTAGGCATGGCAACTAGAAAGTGACAAAAAAAATGTAAAAAATTGTTTAAAATATGTAAATATGATATACTTGCTATAATCTATTTACTACATCAGCACAACTTCACCTATATCACTAAGCTTAGGAAAAATTCCCTCGGCAAAGTGAACACACTCTACGCCTTTAGTCAATCAATTCCAATTTTTTTTATATAATTTTTTTCTTCTTATTGCAATGTATTTAGGCGTAGCCTTTACAATGGCTTAAAACAGAAAATAAAAGTAACAATAAGACATAAAGTCTCATATAAGGGTCTCTTTCACACAGGGTGCAATTCGACTGCAATGCGCTTCCTCAGCAGGGGATTTGTCTGACCCCCCGCTGAGCAGGCGGATGACAAGTCTAAGTCCGCTCTGTTTATGCAGAGCGGACACGGACACAGCCAGCTCTCCTCTATGGGGCGGTCAGATGTAAACGGACCACCTGTTCGTTTATACCCAACTGCCATCTGATCCTATCTGCTAGATGGAAGGGAAACAGATGGATCCCCCATCCGTCAGTTTTTAGTAGATTGGACCAGATTGGATGTAGGAATAGGGTGTAAACAGAAATGTGTCCACTGCTTCATAGAGGAAAATGGAGGTTCCAATCAGATTGCCTGAAAAACAAACAAGCATACCCATTCAGAACGTTCGTGTGAAAGGGGCCTTAAATTAACCGCTTCCATGCTGTCCTATAGCAGAAATACTGCTACAGGGCAGCAGGGGTGCACAAAATCTCACATATATACATGATATTGCAATTCCAGGTTCCTTACCTATGCCACCATTTGTGGCCTTGGCTGTCAATCACCGGGTCCCCGCCAGTGATTCCCTGCCGGCACCCGGCGATCTCTGAGTATTACCGACGGGGGGATAGACCTGTATGCAAACAATACAGATCTCTCCCCTGTCAGTTCCTGCACACTACAACATATCCTTTTTGTGATAAATCACATAAATCCCACATAAATCCCAAATAAAAAATAAAAATAAAATTCCACAAATAAAAAATAATGCAATCAAAATTAATACAATTAAAATTAAAAATTGTGTCCAAATCGAATTCAATCCCAAATGTGTCCCAAAATTCAAATAAAAATCCAAATGTGTCCAATGCCAAGGTCCCAAATTTTCCACTTCAATCCATTTGGAAAGAAAAATGATCCTAAATATTCCATGAAAACCTCAAAAATAAAAATAAAAATCCATAGTGCATTATCTTTTAAATATATATAACAACACTCCACTCTGTGCAAAAATGCAAAACCACTCTTAAAATAGTGCAAAAAAAAAAAAAATTTATACAACTTTCTGTGCAAAAATTATATAAATATATACTTATTATTTAAATAAATAAAACCCAAAACATGACAAACTCTGTGGACACTTCAATCACATATACACTCTGTGATCCAACCAGTTGTGCATTGTGATACTAGGTACTATTACCCTCTATAATCCAGCCAATAGTGATTCTAGGTACTATTACCCTCTATAATCCAGCCAATAGTGATACTAGGTACTATTACTCTCTGGGAGTTATTCTCAAGCATAGGCTATCTTATGGAATCCATATCTTTCCATTCCTTCACTTATGGGGTACTCCTCCAAAGTCCTCATAAAGATAAGTAGGCTCTTAGGCAGAATTCAAACCATAGAAACAAATTTATTCATGACTTACATTAAAAGAAAGGGACTTCCAGCTCACAACATTGCTCCCTCAATGGCTCTGTACTGGCTGAACAAACATTTGGTTGAAAACCATGTGTAAACAACCAACAAAATGGCCACGGCGACACTTCCGGTTAGCGTGCGTGCGTCTTGACGTCACTTATTTAAATAATAAGTATATATTTATATACAGAAAGTTGTATATTTTTTTTATTTTTATGTTGTTGTTTTTTTGCACTATTTTAAGAGTGGTTTTGCATTTTTGCACAGAGTGGAGTGTTGTTATATATATTTAAAAGATAATGCACTATGGATTTTTATTTTTGAGGTTTTCATGGAATATTTAGGATCATTTTCCTTCCAACTGGATTGAAGTGGAAAATTTGGGACCTTGGCATTGGATACATTTGGATTTTTATTTGACTTTTGGGACACATTTGGGATTGAATTCGATTTGGACACAATTTTTAATTTTAATTGTATTAATTTTGATTGCATTAATTTTTATTTTTATTGTGGAATTTTATTTTTATTTTTTTATTTGGGATTTATGTGGGATTTATGTGGTTTATCACAAAAAGGATATGTTGTATTGTATACTTTCTAGGGAGAAAGTGTGACTTTTTGGTGGGAGTGGAGGAGAAGGAGGTTATTTGTTTATTGATTGAGTTCCTGCACACTGCTTTGTATGGCTCTACATAGCAGTGTGCTTACAGTGAAGCACACACACAGCCCCCATAGTGAAACAGTACACAGCACACAGTTAACCTTTTGATCACCCCACATGTTAACCCCTTCCTGCTCAGTGCCATTAGTACAGTGGCAGTGCTTTTTATTAGCACTGATCACTATTGGTGTCACCGGGATGTCAGTGACACCAAGTCAATTGCCCCCAGTGTCAAAATGCCCGCCGCAGTCCCGCTATAAGTCGCTGATCGCCGCCATTATTGTTAAACAAAAACTCCAGTATCTATACCGCAATTTGTAGACGCTATAACTTTCACGTAAACCAATTAATCTACACATATTGGGATTTTTGTTTAGCAAAGACATGAAGACGTTTAGCAGAATACATTTTGGCTTAATTTTATTAATAAATTTGATTTTTTAATTTTTTACTGGACATGTTTTATAGCAAAAAGTAAAAAATATAGTTTTTTTTTCAATATTGTCGGTCTTTTTTTTTTTATATAGCAAAAGAAAAAAAATGCACAGGGGATCAAATACCACCAAAAGGAAGCTCTATTTGTGGGAAAAAGAACATACATTTCATTTGGCTGCAGCATTGCATGACTGCACAATTGTCAATTAAAGTAACGCAGTACCGTGCTGCAAAAAATGGCCTGGTCAGGTAGGGGGGGTAAATCCTCTGGAGGGCAATTGGTAAAATAACATCAGTTGCCATTTTGTTTAGAACTATGTATGTCCATAGAAGTGCAATTTGTGTAGTGTTTATGTGCATTATCATGCATCAGCATGCATTTTGATGAGCTTATTCAATGCACCTGTGCAGTTTGAATTTGTAAGGAATTATATTCAAACCAAACTCACCCATCCTTCCATGTTTCCCTGCTTTATTTTTCTGGGAAATCATTTTGAAAAATACAGGCCATAGACGGGTCGAAAATTGGACCGATTTTCGCACAGTTAATGGGTTAATTGGTCGCTGTTTTTTCTATCGGGGTTTTGCCACTTTTTTTATCGGTAAAGTTGGAAAAAAAAATTATCGCCCGATTTTTGCCGATCGGCTGATTTTCCTGTTTTTTCGGCAATGATGGGCAAATCGAAAATCGATCGTTTTACCGATACAAAATCTGCGCATGAGCCGTGACCTGCAAGAAGAAGAAGAAAAAGAAGTAGAAAAAGAAGAAGAATGTATCTATTTGTATCCAAATAAAAACATCTGTATCCGAAATGGATACAAATAGATACATTGTTGCAACCACAATACTTTTTCCTGTCAAGTATAATAGCAGAGCTCTTTGCAAGGGACAGAAGTAATTAAATGCTGGCCGTAGACAGGACGAAAATCTGCCGATTTTTCCTTATTTTTTTTTTTTAACAACGGCTGGTTTTTGACTCGTCTATGGCCTGCATTAGGGTCTACAGCTGTTGACCAAGGCGTGTTAATACCTGTTCTAATTAAAAGGTATGCGCTAATAACAAACTTATACAAAGGTGTATATCATAATCCAAAAACATTTAGTGTTTAAAATAAATAATTATAGTGTCCAAACATAAATTAGTGTCCAAAAAATATATATATCTTCAGCGACTTGAACCAATTGTGAAAAATCCACCACCAAAGGAGATTAAATGAACTCACCAGAGCTAATGGCTGGTCAGATTATAAACCAGCAACAGCGCTTGTGCTCTGGGAGCAATGAACCCGATGTCCACATAGATATGGTGATGTTTCAGATACTTCCAGATAATAATAATCACAGACAAACAACTTTGCAGCCCAAGCTCTTATGATGAACTTCTCCACTCTTTCTCATACCTCCATAAGAGCATGCAGTACACTCAGGGACAAAAATGAGAACATAATGGTGCAATACGTTTTTTTCATTTATCTCTTTAACCTCCTTAGCGGTATTCCCGAGTGTAGCTCGGGGTAAAATTTCTATACCAAAAGCGGTAACCCCGACCTACACTCGGGCTTACCCTGCGGCGTTGCTCAGGGGGTCCCTGCAGCACTTACCTTGTCCTTCACTCCCGTGATGTGTCCCCTGCAGCATCCCCGGCCATCTCCTCCGGCTGATGCGGCATCCGGCTTCTGTGTTCCGGTCCCTGTGACGTCGGGACGTACGGGTGCCGGAACCGGCGGGAAATTTGAATTTTTTAAAAAATGTCATTTTTGCTGTCATTGCTATTTCAATGCATTTCACATACATTTTGTCCCTACTGCTTTGTCTTGTGCCCTGCCTGCCTTTTGAATGTTCTTTCTGCCTGGAAACTTAGAAAAGTCCATGGCGTCCAAAGAGCGTCCCTTTACGTCAAAAGCGATTTTAGAACAGCGATAGTAAATCAGAACCACTTGCAGAATTGAGTGATAATGATTCGTGGGGAAATTTGTCATCAGACACTGAAAACAATTTTGCGACTTTGCTCAGCAATGTGCAAAGTTGCCTCTGTAATTCAAATTTCAGTGTTTTTGGTTTGATTATATTATTGAATTAAATTTATTATTATTATATTATTATTTTTTATGATTATTAAATTATAATTTATGATTTCGTGTTTCAAATTTTATCACATCCGGAATGTTTAATAGACTCTTGTTCGGACAGATTTCAGTGAGTTATTCCTAAAAATTACAGCCTACAATAAAAAACTACATATTTCCATGCAAAAAAATGGTACCGCTTTCAGCACAAAAAATCGGAAAGAATCATACCGCCGAGGAGGTTAATAAAAAAGGTATAAGGAAACTCACAAACAAGGTGTCCAACAGACACCAGCTTCAATCGCAAAAACAAGGTGAGATACAGTTACCGCTCACCGCGGATCTCTCCCATACAGCACAGAACAACAAGGCTCTCTAACGTCCGCATCGAGTATGCCACGCCCAACCGGTTTCGTCACACCGACGTCATCAAGGGGCAGTACAGATGGGAACGTCAGACAGCTTATAAATACCACCCTTCATCTACATAATTTTAACACCCAGCCAATCACTGCTTTCCTAGTCTCCTTAATCACGCCGGCTTGAACAGGTGTTTCTCAATTTAATTATACATCTACACTCTAGTACATAAACAAAAAAGCTAAATATATATACCCTGCAGGTTTGGATCAGTGCAATACCGCTCTCCTTCAAAAATGCCCACAAAAAAATATAAAAAAATATAAAAACATAAATATATGCAGAAAAGCAATATATACTATCCTGCGCATGGCTCTTCAAACCACAGAAAACCCTTAAAGGGCCATGCACAGAACTTAAAGCACAACTCTTTTCATACACAAAAAATCAAATCAAACATTTATAAAAATATAAACCAAATTAAAATAAACTATATATAACGATCACTATATGTAATCAATATTTAAAATATTTGTAACCTTATCTTAAAAATTTGTCAAAAAACAATTTAAGTCAATATCTATGTTTAAACCTCTTGGTACTAAAGACTCCATTTCATAGAGTGTACAAGTCCAGGCCAATTTAGCTTTCAGCGCTATCACACTTTGAATGACAATTGCGCTGTCATGCAACACTGTACCCATATGAATTTTTTAGCATTTTTTTGAGACAAAACTTTATTTTGGTGGTATTTATTCACCAATGGGATTTTTATTTTTTTGCTATACAAATAAAAAAGTCCAAACATTTTGAAAAAAAAAGTGTTTTTCTTATAACATTTTACAAATAAATAATCTTTCTTCATAAATCTTGCCCAAAATGTATTCATCTTATATTTTTAGTAAAATAAAACCCAAATTAGTTTATAACCAAAAATTATAATTTTTCAAAAAATGTATTTACATTTTTATTTTTTTTTTATATGATTATTTATTTGATTTGATTTTTTTTTTTTATCATACTGTTAGAACTTCAAAAATCTTGCTGGGCTGTAATTTCTCTAATAGAGTAATCCCTATAGTAAAGTGTCACCATAGTGACACTGTACTACTTGTGGGGGGGGGGGGGGTGATGAACTTTTTTTTTCTTTTTTTACACTGATTGCTTTTACACCCATAAAGACTGTAAAAGCAATCATTTCTCCTTCTCTCTGGCTGCATTCCTGCAGCCACTGAGAAACACTGTGAGAGCTGTGATTGCTCACAGCTTGTCACATGGTACAAGGCTGTTGTGAATAGCCTTGTACCATGTGACCTCTGTGATCATTCACAGATTTCACAAGTAGTAGGCAATGATGTCAGGAAGTGACATCTTGTTTACTACTATTCATGTGGTCACTGATTGGCCAATCAATGATCACATGAATCGGGACCTCACACAGAGGTCCGGACACAGTGTGCACCGTTCGCAGTGCTGCGCACTCCCAGGGAGAGCGCACAGACACTGGTTGCGGGGGGACGTTTAGAAACGTTCACCCACTTCAGCAGCGCTCCCATCCAGCCGTTTATCTACATGGGCAGGATGGGAATTGGTTAAGAGACTCTGGAAATTTATAGAGTTAGGACCTCAGTTTACAGAGGAGCCTTGACGTGGGCACTGCAGCTTATGCATATATTTGCAAAACGTGTGCAAACGAAACCCTAAATTGTTAGACAGGGTCAATTTGGTTGTTTTGCAGGCTGACTAGTAAGTGTGCTAGGAAATTTTTTCCTTGTTTGTGATGTGCGTTGCCCTTCTATGTGCACCTTATTGTGATGGCTAGTTATAGGTTGGGGTGATGATTGCCATTTTTGTGTACTGTTGCCAACACATCATAATGCATAGAAACACATGTAACACATTTTGATGTGTTGCCATCAGGGGCGGACTGACAACTCATGGGGCCCCCGGGCAATAGGGGATCAAGGGGCCCCTGTGTCCTTGCCCAAACTCAAAAAAGCCTATGAAAAAGGTACCAGGGGCAGCTCATGGGGCCCCCTACTGACCCCAGGGGATCATGGGGCCCCTGTGTCCTTGCCCAAACTCAAAAAAGCCTATGAAAAAGGTACCAGGGTCATCTCATGGGGCCCCCTACTGACCCCGGGCCCTCGGGCAGTGCCCGAGTTTCCAAATGGT